GTAACCAGTTTGTAGGTCTGGAGCAGTAAAATATTGCTAGCTATTTTTCAGAGCCTTGCATTTTAGGGCTTTCATTTGCCTGGTGAGGTGAGACAGGGTTGAGACTAGCTGAGCGGTGAGTATCTGAGACAGTCCACTCCACACATGAAGCATGCACATGAGGGGGAAAAAAAAAAGTGCCTTTCTGTTTGAGAGGAGGGAACCACAGTGACTAGCCCTATAAGCATATGTATTAATCATGCACCGTCTGGTTTTAATCCACACACTGCTGATCCTGCGTCTCACTGTATTGTTATCAGGGGAAGGAGTATTTCTCCTCAATCTTATTCACCAGCCAAAAGCCTGAAAATGCAAAAAACACATTTGTGAAGTGCCTTCCCAAGGACCCTGGGCCCCGGACCTGGTGAGCTGGGGCTGCTGCCTTTTTATTGGCGTTTAAAAACCTTTTATTAAAGTGTGTCAGGGCTGGGGGAGGAGAGAGAGGCTCAGGTTTCAGGACCCCCCATGCAGAGAGGTTTATTGTGGGAAGGGACATTAACACTTTCTCCTCCACATCTCCCTGGCTGGGGCATGTGGCGGAGCCTGAGCTGCAGGCACAGGCTCGGGTGACGCACAGGTCGAGCCCAGGCAGAGCCTGCAGGGATGCAGGCAATCAGTGATGCTCTGTGCCGGCACAGAGAAGCATCTCCCTGCTCTGCTCAGCTCTGGGTGACCTGCAGCCCTCTTCCAGCCCTGCCACCAGCTCCGTGGGCCCACTGCAGAGCAGGATGCTCCTCAGATGACAGGATTCAGTGAGCGCTGAGGAAACCAGGCCATACCCCAGGTTCCCAGGGCTGCACAAGAGAGACCCACGCACAGCTCAGATGCACCATCACCAGGACTTGCAGTAACCTCAATGTGACCAAGTGTTTTCCATTACAAGTCCCCCACAGCACCATGCACCACCTGATGAATCCACAGTCGTTACCTTCCTTCTTCCTGAACCTTAACTCTGCCACGCTGCTGCTCCCTGCTCTTGTCTTGGGTACAACGCTGGGTGAGTGAGGTCCTGGCAGTGTCTCCTCCGGCTGCAAACGCTGCAGACACAGTCTGACAGCTCAGGCACCAGGCTGCATAGTTTGCTGTTGACTGGTACATTCGATGGTGTTCCATCACACAAGCTGCAATGGATATCTGCCCAACATACGCCCAGGAAAACATCACCAAGTTATGCTCACCCCGGAGCCAGCTTTTGTTGGTTACTGCTTCAATGACAGTGCAAGAGACGATGGGAAGCTCTAAGTGTCACACTGGCTCCAGCAGGAATCTGAACGCACAGCTTCATGGCAACGAACAGAGTCAGAACATTTTCACTCAAAATAAGAGCCAGGCCAAATGCTCAAAAACTTGCTGAGAAACTCTGGCTGAATACTGCACTCCATCTGCTAAATGGGACATGGAGAACAAAAAGAAGTGGGAAGCACAGTGTTTGTCCTATATAGCTTACAAAACAACCATCCTCTTGGTGGAGCCAATAACCTAACACCATTTTAAGCCCAATACTCTCCAGTCTTGCCTTTCCACAAATTCCTTTCCTCTGAAATTTTACAAACTCATTAAAAACCTATGGTGCAAAAGCATGGGGTAAGGATTTAGAGCATCGTCAAGCAAGGTGAGATACTATCCTTGCAGTAAAAAAAGCCAAGCGCCTCTTCTTAGCCATGCAAGTGACAGGAAAGGCAACACACAAGCTTCCCAGAGCCACTTTGGCAGACCAGAGCCCTCCTCCCAGCCCACGAGACATTCACAGGGTGCCCTATAAAAAGCAGTACATTTTCTTTGCCTCTCCAGCAAAAAACTGTCAGGAACTTGGGCTGAAAACTGGGCCAAGACTGAGAACACAAGAGAAAGGAATTGGGTGCAGAAAAATAACTCCTGCTAAAAAGCAATGAAAAATGAGTATAGGGAAAACAGTTCTTGCTGCATAGAAAAACCATTCTCACCTGCTCACAGTTCAGTCAATCAGCAACCAACAAGGAGCACGCAAATGGCAAAGTTCCTGCAACGTGGCTGGATGTGGTGCATGCCAGACAGAGCTGCTCTGCTGCAGCGCCTGCTGCCACGGCCTGGTTGAGGCTCAGGGATACAGATCCCCTCGTGCCACCACGCTCAGCATGGACACGCCGCCCTTCCAGTGCCAAAAGCCCAGAGAGATGCATCTGCTGAGGAGTTCGACTCATCTGGGCTCTGCATGCTAAAAGGAGGGCAGGGAGCAGATGGTGGAGTGGGGACCACACACAAGGATCCCTTGGTTAAGCTGGACTGAGGGCTTCTTTGCAGGGAAGTGTCTTTTTGTATCTTGTTCACAGTCATTCATAAAAGGCATATAGGTTCATGTCTCTTGGTTATACCTTCCTGGCTTGGTCTGCACTGCCTTCTACAACCCCCCACTTACGGAGAGTCAAATAATTCACTTCACTAATACTGCTGAAGGAGAAGATTTGTGGAATAAATTGACGGTAATGACTCAGCTGCCACTCCAGTCCCTTTCTACAGCACTACTGAATCACAGAAAATGGGGTAGGAGCATCCAAAGAGGTCACTTTGCCTCCGTTTCCAAGGTGTTCACCTCCACCCAAGGCGTACCCGAGAGAGCCACCCAGCCTGCTTTTAAAAATCTCCAAGGCTGAAGAGATTCTGCAGAATTGCCAAGGAGTCTGCTTTCAAGTGCTTAACTACCCAAAGGTATGAAGCCTTTCCTAAAGCCTAGTCTTAATCTATTTTGCTGCAATTTATGCCCATTCCTTCCTGCGCTTTTCAGCATGGAACTCGGGGACAGCATGTTCTACTCCTCTCTGCAGCAGCTTACTGCATTTTCCCTGAATTTCCTCTAGATTAAAAAGCTCCAGATCTTCCAGTCCCTTCTTGGAAGTCAGGCTTTTGAGATCTCTGCTTTGTCTCACTGGCCTCCCCTTAACCCTCTTGAGTGCCCTCTGCAAAGTGAATATGCACACCTGCTGTTTTACCAGTCTGACCATTAATGAAAACACTGGTCAGTGCTGGATCAAGGAGAGACCTTGCAGAACCTGTTGCTTCTGCTCAGCGTGTCCCGGGTAGTGCTGGTACCAGCGGGCTCCTCTGTTTACCTCTGTGTGATGTGTTTGGTGCGTCAGGAAGAGACCAGAAGACGGCACAACACAACTGGCACACAACAGGGGCTCAGACCTGCACAAACACGAGCGAACACCCCAGCCTGCTGGGTGGGATTATGGTTCCAAAGTCAGCTACTTTCAAACCAAACAAGGCCCACAGAGGTGGCAAAAAAAATAAATAAAGAAAGGGGAGACAGACACAGCCAAGCCTGGCTCCTTCCCTCTGGGATCTGTGTGTCCTTTTCAGCAGAGCTGAGCTGGTACCACCACGCTGGATAATCCTGGATGCTTGGGTGGCTGCTGCTGAGCAGCAAAGGGCACCAGCTCCCAGCAGTGGAGTTGTACAGTTTCTTTATAAAGCACCAAATGGAGCTAGGACAGGGATAAAACAGCTTGGAAGCTCAGGTGTAGCTATAGGACAAAGATACATCTCTTACTTTTACACACATGACTGCAAGTGCCTGGCAGGGCAGGTAGATGGCACTCCGAATAAACCAGTGTGTGGTTAGAAGAGGCAAAGTTCAGGGAATACCGACCCTCTCCCTCAAGTTATGGGGCACCAGACGGAGCTGCTCAGCCACCTCACCTGCCTGCTGGGGGCTCTGGTTTGTGGCTGCTGGGGAGAGTCGCTGCGTAGAGAGTGGGGCACCGGGAATGTCACCAGCAGAACCCCAGGGAGGCCACAACACACACTGGGTGAACAGGTGACCTTAGGGCAGCAATGGCAACTGCATGCCTGTTATTTTAACCCCTTCAAACAGAGCCTTGAAAATCCATTCTTCCACAGTGAATTCCTGGACTAAGGTGCTTCCCCAAACTGGGAGAGGTCTCGGTTTTAGCAGGACCCCGTGCTCCTGTGCTGTGGGCAGTGCTGTGAGCATGGGCTGGACAGGGAGAAGTGAAACAGAAATTTGCACCTCTTGGGTCCCTCTGTGGCAAAGGTTCTAAATTTCTCACCGTCATTTCAGGAAAATATCAAGAAGAAGTGGCACACGGGAAGACATGTTGCCACCGTCACATGCAAACTCTCCACAGAAACCAGCCTCTGCATCTCCACTTCTCCTCTCATGGCACCAACCACTCAGGGAGGCGACACCGCAGCTTCCCAGATGAGCAGCATTTCTGGTGCTGTGATTCTGCCTCCAAGCAGGAAACTGTTGAGAGCCACTCTTATCCTGCTGTGCCTCCAAGGGCGTGCAAAACAAATGCCATTGTGCCTCTTCCATCCCCCATCAGGTTCAGACACGTTATCCAAGTGCAGCCCCCAGGTCCCTTCTGGCCAGGTGGTGGCAGAGAGCAGAACCAAAACCCCACATCAACAAGGGAACTGATTTCATTATTCTAAAAACAAACAGCCAAAGGAAAGTTCAGGCTAGAATGGGCTCCTAGAGCAAAGAAAGGAAAATAGAGAGCGGGCAGTGGGGAATGCTTCATATTCCTAAAAGCCTTTTGTACGTTAACACATGGTGTCTGCTTCTCTCTAGTCACCTATTTATCACTCTCCTCTTTAGAGAAGGAAAAAAGTCCTGGCTGCCTTCCTAAGGCAGAGTTTTGTGGCCGGGGGGAGGGGGAGGGTGCTTTAAGCATGATGCAAACCATTTGGAGTGCACTGAGAGCACTGCCAACACAAGCTGCACTATTTAAACAAGTGAGGAAATGATCGTATATACAACATGCCAGCGAGCACACACACACCAGAGGAAGTCGAGAGGGGTTTTCATGACACAGAGCTGGATGTCAGCGGCTGAAAGGTCGATATTTTCCCTTAACACCCTTCTCAATGACTTAATCGTGTTCCGTTTGCACAGAAAACTTCCCAAGAATAAAAGTCTGGAGGAATCGAGGGGGGATGTTTGGCCTACTGCTGACCTTGTCCGAGGTCCTCTCCACGTAGCAGGGCTCCTGGGGGGCGACCAGCAGGGGAACGAAGCCCGAGAGCAGCCGATCCTCTTCCAGGCTAAGCAGGGCAAGGTTGTCATCTGGGTCCTTGTACAAGGGCACCTCCGACTGATTCACTGTGGTCAGTATGTTACAGAAGTCAGCCAGCGTCGCCCACACATCTACTGAGACCCTGGGAGAACGAGGAGAGACGTGAGCAATTCGGGGCTGGAATGCGTTGGGAGTTGCCTGCAATGCTGCAGTGAATACCAGAGAGGTGAGGCGAGGCGAGGCACGCCACCACCGCTGCTAACCTACCCCACCGGGAGGGCTCCAGGCGCAGCTGCGTTGGCACCGAACCCAGGAGGGCTTGTAGCCCTCGCCCGCCAGCGCTGAGACCGACCACCCCGTCTCCCCGGACAGGGACGGCTCCCAGGATTGTGCCCTTCCCGCTGCTCTGCCCACCGCTGCCCGCAGCTTCCCCGTGCAGTGCCAGCAGGAACCCAGCTCATTCCAGATGGGAAAAATGATGCTTGTTACTCAATTTTAAAGCCTGCTGGGAGGAGAGAACACCCACACTGCTGTCAGGGCAGAAGAGGTACCTGGGGGGGCTCTAGCCCAGCCTGGGGTACCCTCTCCTTTGCACAGCTGTGATCTGCTGTGACCACATGCTGCAGCCACGCTCTAAAGCACGGAGATTTTTTTTTTAGTTAAACCTCAGCCACAGGGGAGGTTAAGCCGTGTTTTGCTTCTGGACACAGTTTCAACACTCACAAGTGACCTGCAAAGCTGCCTCTGTGGTGTCTCACCTTCCTGGACCAGCAGTGACGTGCGGGGAGCCGGGTGCGAACACAAGGCCACCAGCAGCCCTGGACTGCTCTCCACACATCCCCATCACACGTCCCCAGCGCTGAGCACACCCTGGGGAGAGCCCAGCACCTCAGAGAGGGCCACTGCGCGGGAAGCAGGCAACAAGTACAGGGGGCACTTACAGCTGACCAGGCTGCCTTGTGCTGCATTTCTTCCCCCTTTTTCTAAAAGCACCCTGATAGGGGGTTTTTTAGTGTGCAAACTGGGACAAAAGCAGGAAAGAGGGGAAACTGGGGCTAAGCTGCTTCTGGTGGCCGTAAGGAGAGCTGCTCCTGCACCCCACACCTCTGTGGCACCAAAAAGCACAGGGAAGCCAGCATCACCAGGGGTGCAGCAGTGACCGGTGCGGCCCGAGGCAGCCTGGGGCTGGAGGGAGGCCCCCTGCTCTTTGAACTGCTCCAGGTGGACAGAGTCTGCACTCGGTTATTTACGGGAATCAATGTACCAGGAAAGCACACTGAAATGAAACATCTTGTTTTCAAGAGCGTCCTGGGAGCCAGGCAGAATGAGGAGCCATTAATCAAAGCCCGGCACGTAATCAGCACACATGTAACGCAGAGTCGCCCACGTCCCTAAGCCAGCCCCAGCCCGCACACTGCAGAGGAGAACAGGTCCTTCAAAGCCCTCTGGGCACAGACACCAGGAGCTGGGTTCATTCACAAAGCTCCATCGCTTGGCTCAGCCAGGTCTGGCTGTCAGAAATGTTTAAATATGGAAAAAAATAAACAGTTGCAACACGTTTTTCGGAGGGATCTGTCCGAGGCCCTTTGTGATGTAATGGGAAACGCTGCGTTTGTGCTACCAGCTGGAAAATAAACAGAGCTGCGAGGGTTAAAAGGAACTGAACTTTCCACGACCCCTATCTGCAAAAGAAGAAAATAATAAGAGGAATGATCCACTGCCCCACAGCCCTGATAGTTTATCCTCCGGCCCGGGCTGCAGAGACAAGCACCGGATGTGATAGGGCTGCTCTGGGCCACCTCCAAGGCGAGCTCTGCCCATGGGAGATGCACAGGGCTTGGGAGGCTCAGCCCTCCCCCAGTGCCCTGCTGGCAACTGGGCTCGGCTGCCTGAGTCCGGTCACATAGCACTGGTGGGGCCCCGCCAGCGCGGGCTGCGACGAGGGCTCGGCGTGGAGGAAGGAGGTGCAGAGGCTGCAGGCATCAGTGGGGGAGAGGAACGGGGAGAGAGCTGGGGAAGGAGCGCACTGGGGTGTTGGGGACGGGCATCGATGCAGAGGATGTTCCCAGGGGGCTGAAACAGCCAGGTGCAGGGGACCAGCGTGGAGGAAAAGGGGAAGAAACACATTGCAAAGACCCCGCCTGTATTCCCCAAGAAACGGAGCTGCAGGCAGAGGATGGAGGTGACCACTGAGGGTGGGAGGGAGGCAGAGGGCAGCAGTAGGATGCTGGGGCAGGGGTGGTAGCGGGGTGAAGGAACAGCACAGATGGAGTGCAGGGAGCCATCTCCCTCCCTGGCGCTTGGCACCCAAAGTCAGGAAAATGCCACGCTATCAGTCATGGGGCTGACACTGCTAACACCCTCACAGCCACCCAGCCCAGCAGTCCCCTCTCCTCTCCCCCAGTCCCTCTGGCAGCGCTGCCCGTCAGGGCAGCACCTCACCACCCTCTGAGCACAGGAGCAGTCCCTGTCACTCTGTCCCCTTCATCTCCAGCTGCCTACAGCTTCACAGTCCCCTGCCACATCTGTTAGTTGCACTGGATGTGTTAGGTTTCCACCCTGGGCTTCCTTCAGTCAAACCACAGGCTGTGCTTGCTCCCCAGGTAGCAAGATCATGCTGTAGTGCAACCCCACGCAACCCTGCGGCAGCTGGGCAGCACCTCTCACATACAGCACCCTGCAGAGCCTGCAAAAAGCCAACAAAGATGGTGGTGTTGGCGTTTCTGCTCTGATTTTCTCCTGCGACGCAGAGGTAGCGCTGCAGAGAGCGAGTCTGACAATTTTCTGCTTTCCCCTTGGGTGCAGCTCCTCCTCTGCAGTTCATCTCCCAGCACTGGCACCACCAAGATCATTTACTCGCTGCTACCCACCAGCAAAGCCAGTGAGGACTAACAGCTCATGCTGACACCGTACGGCCCCGCGGATCTCCTGCTGGGATGTGCACTCGCCCTAGAAGGTCACACAACACTCAGGAGCCCTGTCAGGCTCCTTCTCCCTGCTGCCACTTCCCAGGACAACAACGTGGCCACCTCCAGGTGTTTCTGGCTTATGTCACCCAACGGCGCTGCGGTGCCGGAGCCTCCCTGCAAAGCCAAGGCAGGCCCAGGTGCTTGGAAGCGCTGTGCACGCACCATGCCATGGCTCTGGCGTCCCTCTGTGGAGGGAGGCTCTGAATTACTAAGGCCAAGCCCAGGCACGCAGCTCCCAGGTACAGGGACGAGGCTCCCAGAGCTTTTAACCGAGGAAGCGAGAAGAGGGTTAGTGCGAGGTCTTTCCTCAGAACGGGGGTTCATTCCCTTCCCCACAGACACATTTACATTTGCTTATTCCACTAGGACAGGAAAAAAAAATAAGAGTTAATTTCTTTTTTATTGCCTCAGGATTCCAGGTTTAATGTAGCTGTCAGTGTGAGCGCAGCCCAGCTGCACGCCGACAGGACGCAGCCCGGCCAGGCGACGGCGAGAGCACCGCACAAGTGTGCGCAGGCTGGAGCGTGGCCCCGGCGAGGCCGGGTCTGCGGGGGGACGGCTCCTGGCAAAGGCGGGTGCCCACGATGGGGACGCATCACCACATGCAAAGGGCACGCACCAGAGTAGGGGGAGAGGAGAGGGTGTCGGGGCGAGCAGGATGCTCACCGAAGCCCTGCCGGTTGTGGTGCCGCGCGGCGCTCCGGCATGAGCCACCACCATCTTCACCAGGGGCGCGGGCTGCCTGGTGATTAATATCAAGCACAATGACCCCATGTTACAAGCCTGCGGGGGCCTGTGGAGGTGGCCATTTCCTGTGTAATACCAGCTTGTTTAAACACTAACATTCAAACTCCACAGCTGCAGAACAAACCCGGAAAGCGCAGCGCAGAAGAAGCCCTGCATTGTGCTCCCCAGCCGCCGAGAGCCGCGCTGCCGTGCAGATGGCCAACGCCTCGGGCTCGTGTGCTCCCGGGGCCAGGCGACACGCACCCACTGGCTCCCGGTGCCCAGCCCAGCTCCTGCACCGCCCTACAAAGTGCTCCGCAGCCTCCTCCTGGGTGTCCAGTCTCCCAGCCCAAGGGAAGCTGAACTAAAAGCTGCTCCTCTGCAAGAAACAAAAGGGCGTGGTGGTGCGAGCTCTTCCCAAGAGGTGTTCACCAACCTTCTCTGGGACTCAGACACAGCTGCCCCCCTCTGTCCTGTGGCACCAATTATTTCCCCCACTCTGCCCTGCACATGGTCCCTTTGGCCAGCCGGGCATCCATAAACCCATTCCTCTCCCCGGAATCTGCCTTCAGAGCTAGAGTGATGCTGTCCTCCCCAGGAGAGGTGCAGTCTCCTCCCAGCCAGCCTCTGCTTCGCCACAGCCCCCTTCTCCACGGAGACTTTTGGCTTCTGCTTTGCTTGACTTTACCTTCATTCTCAGCCAGGTTTACACTACCGAGACACCTTTGAATCCTCGCTTTGATGTCTCGATAGGGAAACTCTGGTGGCCAGCATTACTAACTAAGGCTGAAATCTGCAAAAGGGATTTTCCATTTAGTCTCCAGCAAACTCCAGCAAGGTCTTGGCACCCCTGTCCAAGACTCTGTCCATCTCTCCCAGTGGGAGCTGCCATCTCAGTGACACTTCTCCGCAAGAGCAATGTGATGAGAGCGATCTGGCAGATCTCTCTGGGAAGGTAAGCTCTAGAATGTGCTCAGAGCTTTTGGATTTAATTTAATACTTGGTTTAAATTAACCATTTTTAAATGCTTGCAGACAGTCTCCACAAACCGAGAGGCCCTTCGCTCCAGTGTGGAAGGAGCACAGATTTGCCAGGGTCAGCCCTGCGGCAGTTTGTCTGTCTAGCCAGTGGCTTCCCCATCGTTTCGTGCGCTTCATTTAGCAACGGATTCATTGTGGCAACGAAGTAGAGCAAGGAGAAGCTCATCTTTCCCCTGCCCAGACCTCTTCACCCTCTTCACAGCCGTATGTCCCAAAAAGAGATGGGTTCACTTGGATGACACCAGCCTCCCTGGCCATGTGCTGCTAATATCTCTGCCTTGGGAGATCCACCCTGCTCCCCTCACCCCAGGTCTCCCTCCTTTTACACCCTAATCTCTGCAAACTATTTCTGGGAATGTCTGGTCCGAAAGATGCTTCTCCAACCCAGTTGCATGGCAGTGCAACTGCTTTAAATGCTTAGACTTCGACGCAATATTTGCCATGAAACATGCAGATATAAATTAATTTTAAGATACAGAAGTGACTGTTGCTTGCCGCTAGAAGACCTGGGAACATCTGGTCCAGACACACAATCTCCAAGCCACAGGACACCGCTGCTCTGAAGCAGAGATGTCCACGGTCAGGCTTAGTTCCTGTTGTGGAAACACCTGAGAAAATTGCCACAGAAAGCTTGCTGAGCCCCTTGTCCAAATAGGCACAGGGGAAGGACACCTTCCACCTCTCAAATATGCAGAGCAGCCCCAAGGGAGGGATCTAGGCCATCTGTCACCTCTCTGTGGCCTTCTGGCCTGGAAAACACGTCCCAGCGCACCGCCGGAGCCATGGTGACCACGCAGACGTGGCTAAGAGCTGGGTGAGCGCGCTAGACCAAGGAGGGTGGTTCTGGGGAAAGGTTTAGCTTCTCATTCAGGTTGAATTTGGGACTGCTGAACCCCCCAGCTAGGGAGAGAATGGCTGCCAGGAGCCAGGGTCCATTTCCAAGCCCCTACCAAGAACAGGACCCCAAAGATGCAGCCTCCCAAGCCTCCCATCCCACTCTGCAGAGCTTACTCCTGCGTGGCTCGCAGCCGCACGCCGGGTTTCAGCAGCGCTCACCCCTCACACCTTTCCCTCCGCCTCTGTCCAAGGGGGAAAGCAGCAAGCTAAGGAATTTGGTATGGGTTTTTTTTTTGTTTTTTTTTTTATTGTAAGGACTCAAATCCAGCAGTGTGATAAATGCATCCGAGCTACAATTAGGAAGATATATAGCATCAGAACGCGAAGGTCTGGGCAGCGTGGTGAAACGCGGGCTCTCCAGAGCCCCAGCTATGTTTCCCATTATGTAACCCTGGTCATGGGCAGACAGCCAGACTCCAAATGAAAAAGAGACTCTGGCTTGGCACCGTTTCTATTTTCCTATCCTCATTCGGGGTCAGCGCAGTGTCATACAGCTGCAGAGAAAGCTCCGGGGATTAAACCTGGGAAAGACTCCAAGACCAGGACCCGGGTTCAAGTACCAGCTGAAAGCAATAAACCAACTGCCACAGCTGGGCTGAGTTTAGACGTTCTCAAAGTCCCCCAGCTCTCTCCCTCACTAAGAACGAGCGATCGTGAACATGGCGAACGCAGCGCAAGCAGAGGCCTTGGGATGTTCAGCCCAGGCCCTGGGCTCTGGCAGAGTCTTGACAAGCTGCCCCACTGGCCCCGAGCCCAGGCCGTCATTCTGGCAGCAGCACTGGCCCCAGACAAGCTGCACTTTGATGCAAGCTCTGGGCCAGGCCTTTGCTCCTAGTGGGCTGCCAGGTGGGTACAGGGCCTGTTTTTTCCAGAAGGTTTAGCATATTCAGGGCATCCTTGCAGGATGCTTCTGTGCTTTAGGGCTTTTTTATCGTTCCTTTTCTGTGCCCACACCATCACAAGGGGCAATGAAAGCCACGCCTGCAGCGCGCTGGGAGGTGGTCTCAGCATGTCCAACCAGTTTCTTCACTGGCACTGGTGGGGACCTCATGGCACATCCCACCGCTATGAGGCACAGAACACGCATGAAACGGCACAGGTCCCTTAATCAGTTCTGCAACTTGGCATCTGCACTTGCTCCTCACACGTTCCCCCTGCTCTTGAGCTCACCCTGCCCATAAACCTTGGCTTACTCCAACACGCCTGCTGCTCTGACCCACGTTTTACTTCTAAACTTCTTTGAAGCTCCTCCCATGTAAACCCTCGTGCTGGGTGACTCTACCTGGTTATTGAACAGCCCCAGGCCAGACAGCAGGCTTGTGTCAATAGAGAGCTGAAACAGTAATCCAGTGCTTCCTTTTTCCTTTCCCACCTCTAGGGAAAACGTTGCAAGTCCCAGGTTGTGTCCAAGAGCGGAGCTGGTTCCCTGCTACTCATCACTACCCCCATCTCCAGGGAAGCTCAGCTGCTGCTGTCCCAGAGTCCTGGAGCCCCAACACCCAGCAATGCTGGGTCAACACAAGAGGTCTGGGCTGAAACAGCAACTTGTCTCCTCACCGTGGATAAAACAGAGGCTCCTGGTGAGCCAAAGAGCACCAGGGTGGAGAAGCTGGGAGCCAACAGAAGGAGGGATGCCCACATCCCAGAAGAAGGGCATGGGTGGGACAAGAGGGGCTGCTCAGCCACCCTCCGTGGAGAGAGCAAGGTGGGGAAGCAGTTGGGCCTCTGCTACAAGATGAAGACCTTCATTCCTCAACTGAGCAGACCAGGACCTTGCGGAGAGGAGCCCCTCAACCCATACCCACTGCTCCCCAAAGAGCCCCACGCCATCATGCCACAGGGTGGGCTGCCACCGTTACCTTCTCCCGCCTTGACGGACAAGCGGGAGCCGGCACCTGCTCCGACAGCCCAGGGGGGACACAGCCCCGCGCCCCGCAGGAGGGGGAGGCAGCTCATCCCGGGGAAGGCGCCGAGCGCTGGCTGCGTGAACCCAATCAGAAATTCCATCTCGAGGCTGCCCGTCGCCAAGGGCTCAGCGGCTCCCTGCGCAGGCAGCGCGAGGGGAAGGGGGGATTGGTGCATGTGGGCTCACGTGACAGATCCCAGTTTGAGTTCCTGCCCAAAGATGGGCAGCAGTTCACATGAGCAGGCAGCGGTCCCACACCGAGCAGCCGACAAACAGAAAACAGACTCCATCTCCACAAAATGAGGCCCAGAACTTCCTGTGTGAGATTTCCATTTCCTCAGCCAAATGAAAAAGAACTGGAGTAAGAGGCAATAAACTAGGAGAGCAGGACTGGACCTGACGCACGGAGCGGGGACCCATTAATGGTTAAGCCACTTTGCTGGATTACACTTAATGCGCCTTCCCATCACCCTGGGTTCTGGCTCCTTTGGATTAACAATAAGACGTGATTTCAGGCTCTGGATCCGGAGTACCGGAGGCAGATGGAAAATCCTGCGGGAAAGCAGCTACAGAGCATGCTCAGACACTGTTTCGCATACTCCATACTTGGCCCCTTCACTCGATTTTCTGTCCAAAAATATGCAAATTGCCTAGTCCGCATTATGGACTAATGGGCTGGAATCAGGCAGTTTAGAAAATTAACCCTTCTGTGCGTTGCAGGGGTAGAAACAAGCTGTTTCTGAAGCAGAAGGGAGGTGACTTTCGGAGCTCCAAGAACAGACAGGCTGCTCCAGGCCAGCCCAGCCCAACCAAGGTTGGCCTGATTCAGTCAACAAAAGGCAACAAAATGCTTGTGCTGGAAATGGACTTTCCTCTTGCAGAGAGGAAGGCCCTGCCTGTTCAGCTGGCTGGGCCAGCAGAGCATGTAAAGGAGACGTATCCCAACAAAGCAGATGCACATCCTAAGCAGAAAGTAAAAATCCATCTTATGGGCCATCTTCTAACACACAGAAGCAACGGGCACCCACCAGGCCCCCTCAGAGACACTTCAGTCCCACTCAAGCATCATTGAAGAAGTCACTGTGTCACCAAGGGTGGTATGTCCCCCCAAACAACCCCTGCGCAGTGATTCTCTCCTGGGTGCTCAGATCAGAGTGCCACAGCCAGGAGTAAGCATGAGCGAGGGGGAAAGGTGGCACAGCGAGCCCAGTGAGGGAGCAGACACCAGAAGACAGACCAGAGGATGCACGTACTGTTTGGGGAGCTCGAGAGAGGTCGGAGGAGGATTCCAGGTGTCCGGGTGGCCAAGCATCCAGTCCGACCAGACCTTCACACTGGGGAGCAGCTCTTTCAGGTCCTGGGGCAAGGCAGATACCTTGATGTCATCCTCCTCATCCTCTGGATCCACCTCTTGTGGCTGAACTGCAAATACAAGATGTGAGAGCTGAGGCAGCTCACTGCAGCCAGGAGCCAGGCCCAGGCAGGGACTGGGGATGTACGACAGACCCCAACATCCCAGTCTTGGACATGCAAGGGAACAGCCAAAACCCACAGCAAGTGAAAAGACAGATGTGTTCTCCCTAAACGGACTGGCCTGAGGGTCAAGCCAGGATGTATGTGATTCCTTTTATTGAGGGCAGTGGGGTGCCACTGCACCAGAGATAGGATTCCGAGGTCCCAGTTTTGGGAATTTTCCCAATAGCTGTCAGAAAGCATGCCCTGCGTCCATCCCTTTCTTCCAGATGTTTCTGTCTGCACACCTCGGGGGCTTTCCAGGTGATCCAGCCAAAACCTGGGCAGAGCTTGGGATGCTGGGGGAGAATCCATAGGCCCCAACAGAGGGGAAGGGGTGTACAAAATCACAGGGAATGAGGGCCTGAACCCCACCAGGCTGCCTCATGGGCAGCTGCATGGATCCTGACAGTAAACCCTTACCTTGCACGCATTCCCTCAGCAGGCTGGTGCACCTCCTCACCAGGAGTGCAAACATGGAGAGCCCCAGGGCTGTGGCCTGTTCCTGGATGACAGAGCGGCAGTCTTCAGAGATGCACTCTAGAAAACAGAGAGAAGGTTCAGCAGGGAGCAGGTCAAATGCTCCCTCTTTGCCTTCACAGCCTCCCTTTCTGCATCCCACACAGGACAGGGATCTCTGCAGGGGTGGACGATTCCCCAGCTCACACCTGTGCTGGACCCAATTGCTCCATGTAAGGGGGGAAAAAAAAAGTGGTGAGAAGCTGCTCTGGAGGGGAAGAGGCTGCAGTCACACTGCCCACAACGTGCCCAACCCCAACTCATGTGCTGAGCCAACCCAGCCTGAGCCAGCACTCAGGGCTCCCAGCACAGAAGCTGCTGCTTGGAGCTGATGCCTTCCCCTGAAGGAGGGGGGTATGTTTAAGTGTTAAAAGGGTAATTAGCTGCATATTTGATCTCTGTCCCTGCTGGAGTTTTAACCTCAGCAGCTGAGGAGGGGGCTCCTCCCATTAGTTCACTAGTCATACAACAGCTTGTCAAGAGAGCTTAATTGAAGCTGTTACTCAAGTAGATGCCACACGACCACAGCTCCTCCAAACAGAGCCGGCTCAGAGCGAGAGCAAATCCCCCCCCGGCACATCTACACCCAGCCAGAAACCACTTCTGAGGCTGCTGAGAGCAGTGAGGAGCTGGCTCGAGGGAACTGCCTGGAGCTGGGCGTGGGTTACATTTAGTGAGGCCGAGAGCACCGTGGGGCACACCAGGCTGCCCGTGCTCGCTCAGGCACCGTGCTGCCTGCTCGCAGATTTTTAAGCCTTACGGGCAGCCTCTGCCCTCCGAATCCCCTCTGCCCCCTGAATCCCCTCTGCCTCCAATTCATACCCTCTCTTGAGATGTGTGGAGGGCGGGTGGCTGGGGGCTTGCCCGGAGGGAGGCAGGGAAGCGCTGCGGTGGGGAATGGAGCCGCTGCCCAGCGGGATGGGATGCACCCACACTGCCTGGGGGTCTCCTACCAGCCCATGCCATTTGCTTTGTGCAGGCTGCTCTGCCTCAGCACCTCACCGGCTTGCACATCCCCTGCTGCAGGACCAGGCCTCACCCTGCAGACAGGCTGCCACTGCGAGAAAAGCAAACACGTAGGTACCGACTCCAACCGGGTGCTCATGCGAGCACAGCCCCAGCGCTGGGATGGGTTGGGAAAGTCCCCGCAGAGCCCCGGCTCCCAGGCACCTCCGCCACAGATGTTAGCATCACCTGTGTGCGGGCAAGGAGAAGGTGTTGGAAGTTGAACTGCCCTAATGTGGCAGATCAGGGATTTTGAGCAAAGGGCAAGAGGATTAAAACAAGACATTGAGACCCTGTTTCAGCTGGGGCTAGCAAAATGCCTGAGGTGTAGAGAACAAACATTGGGATTTAAGTGCAAATTATTTCAGAGTGATGGGGTGGGAGGTTAAAAACAACCAGAAAAAGACTAAAACACATCTAGAAAATAGAGGAAAAAATGGGAGGAAGATCTGCAGGCTTGATTTGGCCAGCTCTTACAGCTGCCAATGTTCAGCACCCAGTGGGGAGACCAGGGTGGCACCAGAGGTGCCTCGGAGCCCAACGAGGGTGCTCTGCTCCTGGAGCCAGGGCTGAGCCGGTGCTGCAGAGCAATGGTAGGAAGTGCCGTACTGCAGGGGCTGTCAACTTTTGGAGGAAACATAAAACTAAAGATGTGACCACTCTGGGACAGTAAATCTCTTTCATGAAGCCTTTCCCACAATTAAGAGTGTTAGTCCCAGCGCTCTGGCCACAGTCCAGTTCAAGAAGTTACAGTCATCTTCCCTGCGCTCCCTCCTCCCGCGCTCGGGCGAGATGCTGGACTCTCTTCACTTCTTGTCTTAAACGGGCACATGGTGAGACCATGGCTGTTGTGCTGCCCTACCTGAGTCTAGTGAGTCCCTGGGACAGGTAAAAAGCTCTAGGCATTCCAGCAAGCACCCCTGCACTTTGAGGAGGCAGCATCCCTGGGACTCTGGGCACTGTGCTCAAGCTTAGACTCACAGTGACCCCCAAACTGGGCTGGTACAAAAGCTAAGTCCTCCCTATCCGAAAAAGGCACAGCTTATAGGCTTTTGTGATGCTGAGGGTCACAAGCACTGCACAGCCCCGATGTATTTTAGAGACTGGCTCCAAGTGCTCGAGCAATCTCTGCGGGGGCCATGGCCAGGCTTGGTACCAGGGCCTCAGCCCTTCCCACTGCCACCAGCAGCTCTTCTTGCAGGCTAGAAGTTCCCCATACAACACTGAACAATCAAAAGAGAGTAAAAATGTTTCTTGTGCTTGAGCCGTCACAGGTACAGCCGTCTGTGACCCACTCACTCAAGCTGAGTACTACAGCCAAAGCTCCATCAAACATTTTGTATTGCTACAGACATGAACAATGTGTGCACTGGTTCACACCCAATTTACATAAAGCCATGGGGCTTCGATGTACCGTAACGATGCTCAGCCCCAGTACAGCCTGCAAAGCTGCCACCATACAGGTAAGAGGAACAAGTCACCCAAATTTAAGGGTCGTTTCCCCACGGTTCCAGCTCAGCTACTGTGGGCGTTGTCATCTCATCATTAAATTGCACAAAACTCCCCCGCTCCTGAAAGTTCATTCCCCGGCCAAGCTTCTCAGCCCCATTTCAGGGAGGCTCCCCCAGCCCAAAAACCTTGCAGGGAAGGACAAATATCCAGGTGGGCGCTTATTCAAGACCCCTGAACATACACCAGCATTCCAGCTCCCAGCCCTGCCAGCAAAGCCTCTTAAGAGCTTAATTGTAAGACAAAAGTGGAAAGCACCATAAATCAGGAGAAACTTTCTCTTTGTGCCTTTTCACCACTTTCCTCAGGAGGCTGGGAGCTTTCACTGAGCTGGGAGTTTGGAGCCAGCGGTCACAACTGCGTGATGCAGAGGCAGTGGGGTGACAGACCCCAGGCTACCCCTGGCTGTCCATGCCCCAGAAGTCAGTCAAGGTGAGGGTACAGTTAAAGGGCAGAGTGCTCACGGAATGGGGATGTTTAGACAGAAACTTGTGGTGTTTTGAGTGATAGGCAGTAAGGAAACTCGCTCTCCACACCCACAGCATGAAGTGTCTGAGCCTACCCTGGCACTAAAAGAAAAATACTATGTAGAAGATACACTGAAAACATCTGCTCTGGAGCCCAGAGGGCATCATTACCTCTGGGATGAGCAATGGTCTGTGCTGCTAGTAATGCATGATGCACTAAGACACAAACTTCATGGAAAGAGATGTTCTTGGAGGCTGGAGTGACACTTAGGTGATTCCTGTCCCTAGAGCTGAACAGCACTAGTACAACCTGGGGACACCCGCTGCCACAGACCAACGAGAGCAGGCAGAGAGAACCTGACTGCCCAGGTCAGGGTAAACGCTGTAATTCCCAGATCTGTTTCTAAGGATCCACAGTGGGTCCAGGAGAAGCCACAGGTCCACAGGCAATCCTGCATCCTATCCCCACAGGCAATCACCTAAAGCTTGGTGCCAGAGACATTTTCAGATGGTATCGATGGCATCTCATCAGCTAAAGCTGCCCCAAACCTGCACTCCACTTCCTCCCCTGAAACCCCAAGTCCGGCTTTGATCAGACAACCCTCCTGTACTCACACCCAGCCACACCACGCAGCCGGGCAATGGTGAGGAGGTGGTCAGGCAGACTACAAACAGAAATCACACGCTAAAAAAGCTGCCACGAGGTCAGGGGTCCCAAGATGGTCAGAGATGTGGCTCCTCTGTGCCACCAGTAGCCTCAGCAATGATGCTCTGCAGAAAGACATCCAGCACGAGGCCAGGTTGTGTACCAACAACCACACACATTCTCCCTCCACCTTCTGCCCTTGCAACCAGCAAACATCCCTGTTAATGCCAGCATCAGTTAAACAGCTCCTGTCACCACGTCACCTCTCAGCTCTCGCCTGCGCAGCCACCCTGTGAACCAGATCGTGCGGCTCATCGGGGTTAGAAATGTCACCTTTCAGCTGTGCAATTGCCATCAAAGGTGCTGCGTGGGGGGAGCAGAGGGTGGGTAAAGCTGGCACCGCTACCTCAATAACTGCTTGTTAAACCACAGCCTAAGGTCAGGGCTTGAGGACTCGCAGCATTTGCAGCCAAGACTGACTCAGGATAATACTGTACCCTCGCCTCATGCTGCACCACCATCCACCGTACCGACATGCGGCCCACAGAGCCATGCTGCAGTCATGGCAGGGAGCTGAGCGGGCCAAAAAACCCACCCTCTGGGAGCTCTCTCAAACTGGATCTGTTTCTCGGTCACTTGTAGCCCCACATCAGCTATGCCAGCAAAACTCTGAGGTACGTGCAATGCTGCACAGGGCTAGAAAGGAGCAGGCAGAGTATTTTAAAGCAGGAATGTCATCAAATGCTTTGCAGTCTGAACCAACAGCCCGGGTAATTTGCATTACCCCACACTTCAAAGGCTGAATTTACCTCGAAGATCTGTCTTTCTGCACCCAAAAAATAAGAACCCTGCAGCCCTCTGCAAACCCTCCGTAGAGGTTAGGGCTCCAGATGCTCCACTGGCCAGTGGGACATGAGCTCTGACAGTCTCTTTTGCAGGCAGGGATTTGAGCACTGTGTTATTAAGCCTGCCTGACAATAGCCACTCATAAGACCCCTTTTCCAGTTGGCTCAGACTTTAACTATCGGAGCTGAAGTTTCCATGCTGGGTGCCTGTCTCAGCCCGGTTTCTTCCGGAAATCTTTAGCCAAAACAGTTCAGCTGCTTGTGAGAATGAAGCTAGGAAACAAGATAGTGGCTTACCCTTGTTAGAAAAAACACTTACAACCTTTTCCTTGAGCTAATCTAGCAACTGCAAATCCTGGAAAGGGGATCTGAGATTTTGCTGCAGAATAACCTTTTTAACAGAGAGTTTTCCTGTCCTACTAGAAATCTGTCCACACTTGGCCAAGCTATAAACATCTGAAATACAGCAGTTTTTCCATATTCAATAGGAATTCATTTCAGCAGCTAAAACCTTCTAAGATTTCACCTCCCTGAGCATGCTCCATCTTC